GTCTGAGGGTAACATCCTACTTCCGCCACACTTCTATACAATCGGTAGTACGGCTTTGCCTTCGGACCATGAGCTTTCTGCTCACCATTCTCGAATCGACGTGCCTGGCATAATAGGATTTATAGAAACGAGTATTCTAGCCACTATAACTCGAATGAGTTACCATGGAGAAGCTGTAGAAGAGGTGAAAATTCTTTACACACTTGGAGAGTATCATTGATAAAGAAGGGCGATTTGATGCACATGTGAAGGCACGGATCGGGAAATCAAGAGCAGCATTACTACAATTGAAGAATACCTATGACTCAAAACGACTCAGCCAACACCAAAGTCAGATTTTTCAATGCAAACGTCGGTAGAATTTTATTATATGGGGTTTAAACTTGGAGAACTACTACAACCATCAATATAAAGGTACAAGTATTTATAAACAGGTGTCTACCACAAGACATTAAATCCATTGGACAGGCACCGTCAGCAATAACTTATTGTGGCAGAGAAAGATCAGCCCTCCGTTAAAGGGGAAACTAAGAAAAGACACCTGGGTTGATAGGACACATCGCGGTAATAATCAAACTGAATCCCAAAGCACGCCCTATCTTGGAATCTTGAAAGCAAAAGGAATGGAGATAGATCAAGAAACATGTAGCTTCGGTAATTGAAGATCGACATCAAAAGAATGAATAGCGCTTGGGGACGACTTGTAAGAAGGTCTAAGGTTGGAGTAGGTTGGAGAATGCTATTCGGTGACCTATGATTCACGGGTGTTAACAGGAGTAAGTAAGGGTCACTGTGATAGGCAAGTCCGACTATCATTTGAAGGAAGATGCTACGGTCTGATATATTCACCAACCTAATAATGTCCTTGAAATGAAAGGTTTCTTTGAAGTAACTTCATGTGATTATCAAATTAAGAAGCTATGTCCTTAATGAATGTTTAGAATTGAAGTGGGATAGCGAAATCGGGCAACTCAGATTAATTCTATTGTTAGATGGGAAGTTCGCCATTATCCGTGGGATGAACTGAAAGAATATCGTCTGTTCTTAGTAGTACAGGAGTTGAGGTTCCTCAAAGACTTCTGCTTCATTGGGACGATCGATAATCACTGACTAAAGAGCATGAAATAGATTTATTAGGGTTCATAAGGCCATAAGGGGATCGATCCTTTTCTGTATGTTCTTTTGTCATTTGAAATGCCTTTGGATATGTCTGAGTGATGTTCTGTAGGAGTCAAACCTTTCACTGGCACAACATTAAAATTCGTTGAGACAACTTCCAACAGTTATCAAATGCAGCTGTTGCTTTCAACTGCTTATCACTATCCGACCACTGAATTTCTCCGTTCTCACACAAGTTTTGTAAGATTTTCCGGGTTAAGGACTTACAAGCATTTTCGGACTTGCGACTCCGGAGTAAACTGACGTGCTTTGAGAACTTATACATAACCTTTAGAAACTCAATGTTTATGAGTCGGACGTTTTTTAAAGCTGTAAAGAACTTGACATTTTTATGTTGTTTTGTGAATTAACCTAGTAGTTGACCACTTACAAAATCATTCAACGGCTCATAAGCTTTTGGATAGAATTCCCAAAAAGAGCTGAATGAATTATAGATTAAAATGAAGTAGAGAATAAGTGTGGTAGACAATAATTTATCTCACCATAATGTGATTCAAATTGTTTTTCGTGGAATAATAAGGCGAAGCGAAAAGTTCATTCTCTTTGATTTCTTAAGTGAATGCCAAAGTAGAGAACTAGTTCGATCCAAATAATAAAAATGATATAGACTTTAGCAGAATTATAATTCTTTAACATCAAATTAACTGTTACGAGTATAATGCATGTTGTAATCATGTGAAATAACTACTTAGAATATATATTCGCCATTCTGATATGGGTGTTTAATACTATTGTAATATAATTTGGTATCGGTTGAAAAAGCCTCGAGGAATTGATTTGCATCGTACGCGGAGCTATGGTTTCCATAACTCAGGTTCTCACTCACTGTCAGTACTTCATTTATCTTCCTTCAAATCTCAAAAATTGCTTAGTACTGTTTTCATTTCCTTCACTCAGTTCTGCTATGCCGTTGAAGTACATTAATTGAGACGATGTTATTTTTCTATACATGGAGAATGTTAATAGGCTGGGTAAAAATGCTTATGCAATCTATCAGTGTAATATTTTAGCCATTGGTTCCCTTCATAAATTTGAACAAAGCCGAAACCACAGAATAATATGAATTCATTATATTTCGTCGCTTCTCATCAGCTGCTTAAACCATATATGTATTGAATTGTAACATTGAGGTATGATAAAATGTGAAACAATTGTTACTGACAATATTTCAACTTCAACGATTCACCGTTGCGGTTGATGTTATCAATCCGTTGTACTTCACTCATTACTTTCCAATAAAAAACGTTTGGTATCAACCTTTGTTGAATCGGCTAGATTATGAAAACATTCAAGTTTCAACCACCACTGCTCTGCAGTTTGAAACCCAACTCCACCTATTTTGATGTCACCAGTTGAATCTCAAGTATGGCTAAAAGCAGCGTACATATATCTACAATTTGTAAAAATATTGCAATAATTTATTTAATCTTTAAAGTATTTCTACAGAAGAATTATTTTCTATATTTACACACTTTGTTCATAGGTCATACATTAATCACATTTAACTCCAATTCATAGTCATCTGATGAGTAATAAGCAACGTGTGTGTTTTTTTGAAGTAATTAAAAATAAAATCAGTACAGTCCTGAAAACATACATTACAGTATATTAATTAATTTTTCAGAAAACGGAGTATGCCGCCTTGTGCCAGTCAGTCAGCTAGAACGTAGGATCAGGAACATATATCCATCAATCCAATTTGCCATATATCATTAGCACAAAGAGTTGAACACCGAATTCATACAAGTAGTTAATTCATTGGTGATATTATATTACAGATTGCATACGAGGACATAGAATTCCTTCTTCCTTTACTATGTCCTTATATTCAATCTTTAATATATTACCACCACTGAATTAACTACTATGAATTTGGTGTTCATCTTGTTGTGCTAAGGATGTATGGCGAATTGGACCGATGGATATGTGTTCCTGATCCTACGTTGTAACTGACTGACAGCTCAACAGTTCTATCTATTCTGTTTTATGGCTGCGAAACGTGCTATTTAAAAATAGAGGACACTCGTAGGTTATTAGATTCGTTCATAGATGTCCTCGAAACATTGCTCGTGTATTTTGGGACCATCGAGTTAGCAGTACTAAAGTTAGACACAGAGTATGAGTAAGGGTAGAAATTCGATTGACAACGTAATGAATCTTTATAGACTGAGAGTGTTCATGAAAAGTTTATTATGTATTGGAGGGTTTGTACACGAACAACTCAGGCATACAACCACCTTTCTCAATTGACCTTAGAGATGATGCAATTAAGTGGTTTGAAACGTTATCAATCGTTGCTGTGAACAGAAGACCGTGGTAACTCTGCCGTAATTTTCCTTTATGATCGTCGTAAAAATGAAGTTATTATTCTCAAAAAAAGTTATCTATGACTGTATTTAGTTGGTCTGTATCCTTTATTTCTTCACATTGTTGTGTATCTATGTATGTGGCGTACACGTTTTTCGGTGCCTAGTTGTACCAGATTTTTATGTTTATTAAATAAAATAAATCGATCAGTGTTTAGATATCTTGTTTTGGGGATTATCCAATACTTGGATAGCTAAATGGCAATGTTTACTGAATATTACAGGTTAAAATCCCACGAGTGCATCGGTTTCTTTATGATTTACAGACCCTCTTTCTTGATGAGTGGCAATAATCAAGATACTTAGGTGTAAAGGTTATTATTTATTCTGTATATGCACTTAATGTCAAGTCTATTTATAAGCCATTACAGTGATTGTAAATTCAACTAGTATATAGGTCTTTTCTATCATAGTTAGCAGTTCCCAGTGTTAGTTGTATGTTGTAGTATTATGAATGTGGAGCGATTGGCTATCGGTTAAAGCACTCAGCTTTCTATCAGTTAGTCAAAAATTCGATCCTCACTCTATGTACTTCCATTGGTCAATCTGTGTGTTATCACTAGCCCTCAAGTAAACACAGTCGCTTAAAACTGTGTAATTGAATCTGTACTCTGTAAATAAATTATGGAGTAATATGAAAATAGCTTTTCAGTGCTACTTCACCCTTCTAAAATTACTCACTAATGATACAAATCGTCATTGAATCATAATTTTGTTATCTGTTGAAATGGCTATGATTTGTTCTTCTCGAAAATATTTGGTCATATTTCACCAAGTAGCCTACACGCTCTTAAAGTTCTGTTCATAGATTCTATCAACGTTTCACCTGAAATCATATACTTTCTTCAATTTCATGTGAATGACGACCTTGTTGTGTTAGATTATTTTACAGTTTGTAATTTATTTTTAAATTTTGCGCGTAGGAAATATGTGGTGTATAAATAGTAGTTGAATAAATGAATTTTCTGTATTTAGTTTTATGAATTGTCAAGTGTAGGCTTGCGTATGCTCTTAATTTGTCACTATTTAATGTATTTATTTCAAACGTTGTTACGTTGTTAAACATTTTGATGTTCTCGTTATTATTAGGGTTTCTTGTTTTTCTTTACTTCGTATATCATCTTAATTTTATGTAATTTGTTACTACAGCTAAGTTATCGTGAAGATATCAATTCAAGTCTTGAAACCATAGATTTAGTTGACAATCGTTTCAAAAAGTGTTCTCTAGTGAATTAAAAACACATATTTATTTATTTGAACACAAAATATGTCTTATAATTCAAATTGGATTCATCAGTTCTACTATGGAAATGTTCCAAATATATACTCGTGCTGTTGACGAGTGTTTTTGCACAGCAAGAATACCCGAGTGAGACTATCTAGGATACTGCATATCTTTAATTTCATACAAGTCCTTCCTATTTTTAATCCGAACAAATCCATTTTCGCTTTTAGAATTGACTAAACAAGCATTTATGGACCATTTTGCCATGCTACATTCCCCCGCCTACGCATCAGCAATTCAATCAGAACTTGAGCGCGAACACAATCGACAAGCTGAGTTATTAAAACACACAAAATTTTTGGAACAGTCTATCGCTAAGTTGCATTCAGATGGGACAGATTTATTAAATCGGTTCACAAAACGCGTAAGTTTATTTATGCATTCGAATGATAATATACTTGCTTTTAATTTGAATGGTGACTCTTTGATCTTCACATTCATTTGAATAGTTTATGTCCGTTACTAACAATTACCGACATTTTTTTGAAGAAGCTAATCATTAAGTTTTATTAGAATACAGTGATCTGTAAATTGTATGAAACCGTACTTAAAGACAAATCCTATTTTAGATCGTTAGCGAATAGTTAGACTTGTCATCGATACTGAAATGAATTGGTTGCATTCATTCTGTGCAAATGATTTTATTTGATGATTCGGACTACATGTCGGTTAACCCATTTTACTTGAATTTATGTTCTCTACTTATGATTGACTTTCTTTCTTATGCCATAGTAGTCTGTGTATATACCGTTCACTGCATAATTATGTCATACAGTAATGGTAAATTAATATAACGGTTGGTTTTCCACGTTTACACGTATGGGACGTTAATTTACCTTAGGCGAATATCTACACTAGATTCCCTCCCAGTGTCTGTTCTACAGGACTTCAACACAACTCAGATCAAGAACACGTGACTAGCCTGACTAGAACGTAAATATATTTCCACACCAAAACCCGACACAATTCAACAACAATAAGCAATCAATAATAATCACTATAAGGATAGAAGAATATATAATTCATTTGACACCTGTCAGACTATCTACATGTTTGACTAAGCAGACAACCAATCATTATCATTCTCGCCCACGCATCATAAAAAAATCATGTTTCATCAAAATTAGTTTATTTGATGTTCTTCATTTTCTATGTATTTGAACAGTATTCGCCAATCATATTACCAGTATCCTCACGATTATCTTTTTCACTAAGTAGTAGTAGTTGTTGTTGTTGTTGTGACTTTACAAATATATTTTTTAATTTTATTATAGTATGAAGCGTTTAACGTCAATGATTATATGACATTCATGATTAATGACAAATTTTTCCCATCAATGTTATCCCTATAAAACATTCTCGTTTCACTATATATATATATCTTCTTTTTTAAAGAACAAGCAAAAGGAAAAAGAAACCAACCACTAAAATGTCTCTAGTTGAATTATTTACTGTTTAGCGTCGTGTTGTGTCCTCTTTGTCAAAGCACATGAGTAACTTCTTCACTTAACACGGGTACTTAGAAAAATACATATGAAATCGGAAAACTTTGCTGCAATAATTATACATTTGGGTACTAAGACTTTCAAAAGTTTGATCTCATTCTCCATCTTAGTAGCCTTGAATGATAATGCTCATGGATGCACTTAAGAACAACACTTTTATAGATTATTGCATTTGTTTGAACTTTTACTTTCACTTACCCTATGGCTTCGTAGTGTCATTCATGTGGTCGTGGTACATCTAAATGCGACAATGACAATAATAATAATAATCATAGGAACTAAAGTTCGCTATTACACATGTCTTTCAAAATGTTATATTGTAACGTTCAGCATTAAGTAGGTTTGAATCCAGCCTGAAGGTACATTGTTTACTGCGGGAATATAGAAAGTAGTGTGTGGAAGAGAATTTGGACGAAAACTTAACGAAATAAAAAGTAAACCGAAGACTTATTAAGTATGTTAAATACATTTACATTTGATTGTAATAGCGGTCAACAGCAATTAACAGTATCACAAATGTAATATTAAGATAATCTGATAATCCAGATAGGAAGCTAGAAGCGCAAGGTTTGAAATACGTTACTAAATATTTTGAATAATTTTACTTCTAATTATTCTTTGCCACCACATTTGTTTCAGAGTGATTATTTTTGTTGTTTATTCTCAACTTCTTACCTTGAAAAAACAAAACAGCTAGGTATCCTAATCACCACACCGGCTGCATTTTTCTCTCAAGCTCGAAGGTTAATCAAACAGCATCATGTTTTGGAAGAGAAGATTGCTGAATTTCGAAGGCAGGTAAGTTCTTCACAGTATGGATGGATGTAGTTATGTGGTCGTTATGTTTACAATTTTCATAGACATTTTATTTTGCACATACAATTCATCAACCTTCAACCATTAGATTGCCAGTTCTAATCTATTCTACGTAATTCGGTTTTGAATAGTCAGGCAGTGTTACCAACCCTCATAAAATTAAACTTCGACTCAAAGCTGAGCACATGTTATATCTTGAAGATTGTTTTTTTGATATGCCTCGTATAACTGAGCACTAGAACACCAAAACCCTTCCAAGTCGCAATAAGAAGACAGAAGACTAATTAAAGGAATATTATTCCAACAGTGTCAATTATAGTACACAATTGTCAGGTATTTATAGTTTTTAGTAAGAACGAAATCATCATTACAGTCCACCAATCCTCATACAGAGGGTTATTAGTGTTGTCCAATCAGGAAGCTACACGCAGGAATTCTAGAATACGCTACCAAAAGGTGATTTGATGGAATATCTTCGGCTCCTTCTGAGCCTCCCACAGCTTCCTCGAGTTCACCCGTGGTCCGTCATCTCAGTACATAAATATCTGTACTCTTTAAGTGAATTGCATTACATTTCTCGTAAATGAAATTTATTTATTTATTTGAACACATAAATAATGGTACAAGAGAGCGCCAATATATATGCGCCACACAAAACAATGGGAATTCGAAGAGAAGTAGAAAGAGAAAAAAAAACTAAGGAACGCAAAAGAAAAAGAGAGTAATGACGAAGAGGTACAATCAGAAGAAATCTTTCAGGTAAGGGAGACACAACCACTTTTTATGAAGAAAGTAAAAGAAGGTTACAGCAGGATCGCCACTGACTTATATTCTGAGCCATATCTGATAACGTCTCTAGCCACTGTGTAGCACCATCTCTCAGACCCCAGCCAGGGAGTCGTGAAGGACCAACACAAGCCAGTCCTTTGCAGCTTTCTTTCATGCCACGACACCATGTCATGCACTGGCCACCTCTCCGCTTCTTCCAACCAGTCCCAGAGTCGGCAAATAATGCACGACGTGGAATTCTCTGGGACGACATTCGTAGAACATGTCCGAGCCACCGAAGTCGGTGTTTCAAGATGGTGACACCAATCGCATTATCATCTCTGTGCCCGAACACATGATGCCGAACCTCTGCATTACTGACATGGTGTTGCCACTGAATGTCAGCAATCCTTCGGAGACAGCGATGATCGAACACAGAGAGTCGTCTAACGTCCTCAACTCGGAGAGGCCAGGTTTCACAAGCATAGAGCAAAACTGCTCTCACCGACGCGATGTAAATCCGACCTTTTACAGCCAGACTAACATCACGAAGGCGCCAAAGGTAGCCCAGATTGGCATAAGCCGCTCTGGCTTTCACTATTCGTGCATTGATCTCATCACTCACACCCCCACCAGCACTTATGCAGCTACCCAGATACACGAACTTCTCGACTACGTCTATCTGCTCACCGTCCAGGGTGAGTACAGGATTAGAATCCTGCCAGTCTTGTAGAAGTACTTTGCACTTCGAAGGTGCAATGCACATACCATACCTACGGACACTGATTGCCAACTGATTAAGTGCGGATTGCATGTCTTGGGCATTATCGCACAGTAAGACAATATCGTCCGCATACTCAAGGTCGAGAAGTCTTTCTCCAGGCAACAGATCCACACCACCATTACTTACATTCATCAGAGCTGTTTCCAGAATGTCATCGATGGCAAAGTTGAAGAGGAATGGTGAGATTGGGCAACCCTGCCTAACCCCACTGCTCGAATGGAACAATGGAGAGAGGTGGTTGTATGCCCTCACTCTGTCTGAGGTGTTTTTATACAGGGCTTTTATTATGTTAATAAGCTTCTCAGGCACACCCTTCTTCAATAGACAATCCCAGAGAACAGTCCTGTCCAACGAATCGAAGGCAGCCCTGATGTCAAGAAACACTACGATTGTTGGCCTTTGATAAGTATGACGGTGTTCTAACATTTGGCGGAGAATGAAGATATGATCAAGAGTTGGAGTTCCTTGCGGACTTCCTCCTCATTTGGTGGATCAGTCGTCACCGGCCATGGAGGGCAGGACAGTCTGACCGATGTTGCCGGAGCAGCAGGCCAGTTGAACTGCCCTTCGAAAAATTCTGCCCATCGTCCAAGACGTCGATGGATGTTAGTGATTGGCATCCCATCATCCTCGCAGATTGTTTCACTCACACCAGACTTCTTGCTGCCAGTGGCTCGGATGAGTTGGAAGAGCTTCCGGTAGTTACCAGATGCAGCTGCTGCTTCCAGCTCATTAGCACGCATCGACCACCAGGCTTCTCGGTCCTTACGCAAGCTTTGCCCAATTTCCTTACGTAACATCCTTCGTTTATGGTCAAACTCACGGTCACCCGGAGTAGACCGACGGGCTTCAATGAGTTGTAAGGAACCAGAAGAAACCCAGTGCTTAAAAGCGGGACGTTTCGCAAACCCACAACTGACTGTTCCCGCCATTTTCATGGCGTCATGCAATTGCAACCAATGCTCATCTATACTTTTCGGTGGAGTGGTAGCTAGCCTAGAGGCTAGCTCGGTTCGATACTTACTTGCAACAGAAGTTGCAACCAGCTTGCTAACATCAATCCGTTGATGGCGTTCACTTCGTTGTCCACTGAAAAGTAAGGCAAGATTGGCGCAGACCAAGGCATGGTCAGAGTCCAGATAGGTACTCCAAAAGGAGCGGCAGTCTTGTACACAACCACGCCAGCGGTAGCTGATCGCGATGTGATCAATCTGAGTCCAGGCTTGAGATGCAGAGGGAGGACGCCAGGTGGCACATCGGCGATGACTGTGCCGAAAGTTAGTGCTAGCCAGAAACAGGTTGTGGTCTGTGCAAAGTTGCAGTAGACGGTCCCCGTTATCTGACCTGCGACCAACGAGTCCCCATCGGCCACCTAAACGACTCTCTTCTGTGCCTAGACGCCCGACCTGAGCATTCAAGTCTCCGGCTAGTACTACAATATCTGTCGAACGCACTTTCTGGAGAAGAACTGATAACTGGTGGTAAAACTCATCCTTGATTGCATCCGGGCTGCAATCTGTCGGGGCATAGGCGGAGATGACGAAAAGACATCGTTTCTCACGCCGATTTCTTCTCACTTTGATGGAACTTTCTAATCTAACAGCACATAACCGACTGTTAATGGGGATCCAATCGACTAGTGCTGCCTCAGCTCTAGCGCTTAGTGCGACACCAACGCCAGCAAGACCAGACGAAGATGCCACAGGGTCCCCGGATAAGCGCACGTAAAACAAGCTTTTCGAAGCGACAGATGGAGATCGAATTTGTAGTACTTCGCCAGAGTCTTGAATACGGGTCTCGGATAGACAACACACGTCGATATTAAGACTTTCCAAAGACATAGCCAGCCCTATCTGTTGTCCGACCTGCATAAATGTGCGAACGTTGAAGGCAGCCAGTTTGAATGGTGCACGTGGTTTCAGAAAATCTGCTTCAGTCCTCGTATTCGGTGGTAACATACAATTTTCAACCGGACAGTGACTCGAGAACGTTTGGATACAGTCGGAATTCCACCAAAGACGAGCCGCTGTATAAGTATAAAAGAGGGTGAATAATGTGGAAAATAATAATAATAATGATAATAATAACAATAATGACAATAATAGTAGTAATAATAATATTAGTATTAATAATGACAATAATTGTAATGATAATAATCTGAATCAATTGTTTGTTTTTCAAAGCGACAAAAGTAATTTCCATAGACATAAAGAGTTCATCATTTGTGTGTGGGCTGTGATACTGCCCGGGTGCCCAAACCGAAGCAGGTGGTTATCTTAGGGGGCCACTCCCCGAGCCTTTGACCTAAAGGTCTAACCCACAAGGCAGTGGAGCATCGTAAGGAGATGCAGTCCCATGGTAGCCGGTGACCAACGATTGGTTCATACGCCATTCGTTCCCGCAGGATACTGGAGCCCATGTGCACCATTGATTTGGAATCCGGTTAAAGCGCCGGACATTCGCTTTTCGTCCTCTCATTTTCGTAAACAACACCCCCGCCACGAGAAGGCAATGAGTAGGACTTCCCTGGCAGAGGCTGTATACGCGTGGCCGTGTGAGAGTATTTCGAGAGGGAGAGCGGACTCTCCCCACTCTCGGCCGTACCAGGGCATTCAGGGGGCGTAAATGAAATTATGAATTATTGACTACTGATCTAAGGGATATGTAGTTATATAGATTTGGTAAGTGAGTGTCTGACGAAATCCCGACACAGATTCAGCATGCTTGATTGGCTTTTGACTAAATGATGAGTTTACAGTTCAGCAAATAACTTGTGGTCTGAGTCATGTTGGTAGATGTAGACTACTTGGTTGAGATCCGCCCAACTATCGTAACCAATGGTTGGAGACTCTTGGTGACATGCATCTGGATCGATCACAATGGCGTAGGTTTATACACTATTTGTCTTCCCTTAATCTATAAGATTAAAATCGCTCCATATCTTTCATTCTACGAACGAATTTTTTCTTCGTGTAGTATATCCTTATATTCAATCTTTAATATATTACCACCACTGAATTAACTACTATGAATTTGGTGTTCATCTTGTTGTGCTAAGGATGTATGGCGAATTGGACCGATGGATATGTGTTCCTGATCCTACGTTGTAACTGACTGACAGCTCAACAGTTCTATCTATTCTGTTTTATGGCTGCGAAACGTGCTATTTAAAAATAGAGGACACTCGTAGGTTATTAGATTCGTTCATAGATGTCCTCGTGTAGTGAAGAAGAACACGGGTGGGGACAATCGATTGTATTTAGCACAAAGATTACAGACTATCTCAATAAAATGTGAATACCATAAAGTCAATCGTCAATTTGCAAAATATCATTCCATCATATCAAACTGTACTGTTCCCGTTGCAAACACTAATCCATTGTCGCCCATCCCATTGTACATGCGTTTTCTTACAATTCCATTGTGCTCT